GTGGATTTTTGTGAATTTTTGGGGAATTTTTTGGGGGGGATTTTTGGGAATTTTTTGTGGATTTTTGTGAATTTTTGGGGAATTTTTTGGGGGGGATTTTTGGGAATTTTTTTGGGGAATTTTTTTGGGTATTCTTTGGAATGTTGGGGGGAATTTTGGTAGGAATTTGGGGAATTTTGGGATGTAGGATCAAAATTCCCAAGTTTGGGCCCAGAATTCCCAAATTTTGTGTGGAAATTCTCCAATTTTGTGCAAGAATTCCCAAATTTTGGGGTCTCAATCCCCGAATTTCCGGCCACAATTCCCAAATTTCCGACCCGAATTCCTGAATTTTGGGCCGGAATTCCCGGATTTTGGGTCGGAATTCCCAAATTTTGGGCCGGAATTCCCGGATTTCTCCTCGGGATCCTCCTGGGGAGGCCTGCGAGAGGGAAAAATGGGATTTTTTGGGAATTTTTGGGGGAAAAATGGGAATTTTTGGGAATTTTTTGGGGAAAAATGGGAATTTTTGGGAAATTTGTGGGGAATTTAGGGATTTTTTGGGGAAAAAATGGGAATTTTAGGGAATTTGGGGGGATTTTGGGGGACTTTAGGGGTTTTTTGGGAATTTTTGGGGATTTTTTGGGAATATTTTGGGGGAATATTTGGGAATTTTTTGGCAATTTTTTAGGAATTCTTTGGGGATTTTTGGGGAATTTTTGTGGAATTTTTTGGTGGATTTTGTGGATTTTTTGAGGGATTTTTTTGGGAATTTTTTGGGAAGTTTTTGGGGTATTTTTAGGGAATTCTGCGGAATTTTTGGGGATTTTTTTTGAGAACTTTTTTGGATTTTTGTGTGGAATTTTAAGGGATGTTTTGAGGGATTTTTTGGGGTGTTTTTTGGGAATTTTGTGGAATTTTTTGGGAATTTTTTGGGGGGAATTTTTTGGATTTTTTTTGTGAAATTTTGGGATTTTTTTGAGGAATTTTTGGGGGATTTTTGGAATTTTTTTTTATTTTTTGGGGAATTTTGGGGGAATTTTTTGGGGGATTTTTTGGGGGGGATTTTTTTGGGAATTTTTGGGGGATTTTTTTTGGGGAATTTTTGGGGGAATTTTGGGAATTTTTCGGGAATTTTATGGGAATTTTTTGGTTTTTTTTGGGGAATTTTTTGGGGAATTTTTTGGGAATTTTGGGGGAATTTTGGGGGATTATTTTGGGGATTTTTGGGGGAATTTTGGGGATTTTTGGGGCACCTTTGGGCGGGGCGCCCCGCTCGGAGCCCGCCATGGAAACGTCGTCGTAATCGTCCTCGAAGCTCTCGGGAGACGCTGGAAAGAGGAAAAACCCCAAATTTTTGGGGCATTTTAGGGTAAAAAAATTCAATTTTTGGGGGGGATTTTAATGGAAAAACAAATTTGATTTTTGGGGGACTTTAAGGGGAAAAAAATCAAATTTTGGGGGTTTTTAAGGGTAAAAAAATTCAATTTTTTGGGGGACTTCTGAGGAAAAATTCGAATTTTTGGGGGGATTTTAATGGAAAAAAAATTTCAATTTTTGGGGGGATTTTAATGGAAAAAAATTGATTTTTGAGCAATTTTAAGGGAAAAAAATTTGATCTTTGGGGACTATTAAGGAAAAAAATTAAATTTTTTTTTGGGCTTTAAGAGATAAAAAATTCGATTTTTTGGGGGATTTTAAGGGGGAAAATTCGAATTTTGGGGGATTTTAAGAGGAAAAATTTGGATTTTTGTGGATTTTGCAGCTGAAATTCCCAATGGAAGAATCCAGTCCCAAAATTTGGGAAAAATTGGGAAAATTTGGGAAAAAAAGCGAATTTTACCCGGTCTGAAGTCGCTCAGTGGGGGAATCTTCCCGGCCACGGAGTAAATTCCTGAGGAAAGAGAAAATGGGAAAAATCCGGAAAATTCAAATTTAATCGAGAAAAATCAGGAAAAGAAATCAAAATTAATTGGGAATAAATCGGGGAAAAAATGGGGAAAATTCAAAATAAATCAGGGAAAAATCGGGGGAAAATCGGGGAAAAATAGGGGGAAAATCGGAAAAAAATCGGGAATAAAATAGGAAAAAATGGGGGAATAATCGAGAAAAATCGGGAAAAAATTGGGAATAAATGAGGAAAAAATACAGGAAAAAATGGGGAGGAAAATGGGGAAAAATGGGGAAAAAATCAGGAATAAATTGAGAAAAAATTGGGAATAATTCAGGAAAAAATCGGGAAGAAACGGGGAAAAAATCGGGAAGAAATGGGGAAAAAATGGGGGAAAATCGGGAAAAAATGGGGGAAAAAAAAGGGGGAAATAGGAAAAAATAGTGGAAAACCTGAAAAAAAATCAGGGAAAAAATCGGGAAAAAATCAGGGAAAAAATCCAGAATAAATTGGGGAAAATCGGGAAAGAAACAGGGAAAAAAAGGAAAAAATTGGGGGGAAATCGGGGAAAAAACAGGAAAAAATTGGGAAAAAATCGGGAAAAAATTTGAAATAAAACAGGAAAAAATCGGGAAAAAAATCGGGGAAAAAGGGGGGAAAAGGGAGAAAAAAATCTGGGGAAATGGGGGAAAAAATCCGGAAAAAACAGAAAAAAAATACAGGAAAAAATGGGGAAAAAAAGAGAGAAAATTTGGGAAAACAGAAAAAAAGAAAGGGGGGAAAGGGGAGAAAAAAATGGGGAAAAAATAGGAATAAAAGGGACCAAAATGAGGAAAAAATCAGGAAAAATCAGGAAAAAAAACAGGAAAAAATGAAAGGAAAAGGGGAATAAAAGGGGAAAAAGCGAGGAAAAAAATTTGGAAAAATGGGGGAAAATGGAAAAAAAAATTGGGAAAATGGGGGGAAAATGAGAATTTGGGGGATTTAAATAGGGAAAAATGGGAATTTAGGGGATTTTTCCCCAAAAAAACCCAAAATTTGAGATTTACCCCCCCAAAAAATGAAAATTTGGGGGATTTTTCCTCAAAAA